GGTGTGAGTGTGTGTATCAGTGTGTGCCCTGTGATGGACAGGTGTCCTGCCCAGGATGTACCTGGCCCCGGTGTGAGTGTGCGTGTCTGTGTGTACCCTGTGATGGACGGGGACAATATAAAAATGTCTCTATAAAAAATATTCTGTACAAATATCTGCTACACAAAACGATAGGTGGAACAGGTTCTCCTCCTTGTCATCATTATTGCTGATGACGGCTTGATCTCAATGGCATCCTGCCAGAAAGCTTATGGCAGGATTCTCCAGACGTGTCAGGCAGTCTGAAGCAGTTGCTAGCTTAAGAACTGCGGAAAAGAACAAGGAAAAGGGAAAATATTATTGAGAATATTTCTACAAAAGTTTGTAAACAGAAAGAAGATAAACCTCTGGGTAATGTTATTATGCCAAAATCATGTCAATGTGCCATTGAAAAATAACTAATCTTCTTCAGGGGCAGCAAACGGAAGTATGGAAGCCCGTTTCCGGCCGGGAGTAAAAAAAAAAACCGCGCTATGGTATCTCGCAATTGCGACTTTGTCTCAGAATTCCGACTTTATATCTCGCAATGGCGACTTAAAAACTCAGAATTACGACTTTTTATCTCACATTTGCGACTTCCAAATGCCCGTATTTCATTGTCTGTCCTTTTGTCATGGTGACGGACTCGGGTCCCAGGGCTTGTGCCCTCGCCGCTCCCTCCCTAGTTCCTGCCTCACTGCATGGGCTCGAACCCGGGTCTTGCCCGCGGAGCTCAAGACCTTCTTTTTTAAGTAAATAAGGACATACAATGGAAATATGTAAAAAGTACAAGTTTCAGCTTCTATAATTGTGAATTCCTCTGGACGTGAAGTGTCTATTCTGTATCTTTTTTTCATCTTCTGTCTCCGTTTTTGTATTTCTGGTGTTTAAATAAAAACTTTTTTTAAAAAAGCCCACCGTATTCCATCCGAGTACTATGGAAGCCTCACTGGGGGAAATGGGATTCTATATAAATTAGTGTAATTTGATTTTTATCAGGGCACTGTACAAGACAGGTCTTCAGGCCTATAGACCCTATGATCCTGTACGATTCATGAATATAGGGGAACGGAGCGGCCGACATGCAGGTTGTACGATCTGGTTGCGGTGTGGTGACGGCACCGCCCTCCCCTGCGCATAACAGGGATGTTGGCCGGTGGGGCTGAAGAAAGTGTTCTTGAGCTCAGCGGGCAAGACCCGGGTTCGAGCCCATGCAGTGAGGCAGGAACTAGGGAGGGAGCGGCGAGGGCACAAGCCCTGGGACCCGAGTCCGTCACCATGACAAAAGGACCCTGCTGTTCACAGGCAAGGGCGGTGACGTCACCGCTCCGGTAAGCCGGCTCGCCGTATGCGTTACAGGAGTCGCCATCGAGAGATATAAAGTCACAATTCTGAGTTTTTAAGTCACAGTTCTGAGTTTTTAAGTCGCGATTCCGAGATATGAAGTCGCAATTCTGAGTTTTTAAGTCACAATTCTGAGTTTTTAAGTCGCAATTCTGAAATATAAAGTCGCAATTGCGAGATATATAGTCGGAATTGCTAGATACCACAGAGCGTTTTTTTTTTTGACACCCTGGCGGAAACGGGCTTCCATACTGGAGGTTAGTTTATCAGCCTCCAAAAATCTTAAAAAATCAAATAGTTTAAAAAGACAAAAGCACATGTATTCAGTGTCATTTCCCCTTCAGGTGCACAGTGTTAGAGACTTTAGAGCTTTCAAAATCTTCCTGTGCTTGTTACTTAAGCAGACCCTTGGTCATGATTATTGTGACATCATTAAACGTTTATTTTCATATGTCATCAAAGATTGAAAATAAACATTTTTGTAGTATCTAGACCTTAATGGAAGTGTGAGGTCTGAAGTGCACTTCTTAGTTTTTGCATTTGGAGACAGAATCCTTTCTGAAGAAATGCAGGTGAAGATATTGCTTGTATTATTATTAAAATGTATTATTGTATTTGAAGAAAATGACACAATGCATTTCATGGCAGTAGAAAGAGTATTGAGTTGATTTTATCTTTTGGAATCGTCACATGAAGACTTGTCAAATACAATATTCTAATATTAATACTTTTCTGATTAATAATATAAAGACAAAATAATGAGAACGAGACCAATTTAAAGCCGTGTCCAATGTGTTGGATGATGCTACAGGGGATGAGAGTATCAAATCTCCCTGTGGCTGCAGTGTTGAAGATGAAAGAGATGAAGACAGTAATAATCCAGGAACATCAACGTCCACCACTTTAAACTGTCTGATTCACTGTTTTCCTGCTTGGTCATTTGTAAGCTCCTTGATTTCTCCTTTCTTTCTTTTATAAAAATGTATTTTTTTTATTACAGAGACTCAGAGTGCTACTGTATATTATTATTATTATTGATATTACTTCATGCTCTATTGGAAATGTAGCAGGGGTCTGTGTGATATTAACTGGTCCTGTAAGACAAGACAGCTCCTTTCCTGGCTTGATGCCACAGAGGAACTTGAAAGGCTGGGCTAAATGGGCTACAACACAAGTCACCCAGGGTTAATACTGCAGATATCCACTGTGCTGGGCTGGTGCCCATTCCAGACACTGACGTCCCACTCCCCGGCCAATGTCCTTCCCAGGACCCCTCTGAAGACACGGAGTGGAATGACATCCTGAGGAGATTCGGGATTATCCCTCCAAAGGAGGAGCCCCCTGATGAAAGTGAAGGACAGCCTTCAGGAGACGAGGATGGTAAGATCCCTGTTGGGAAAAGAGCAGACAGGTGTTCTGGGCATCAGCAGGACGGCCAGGTCCTGCACAGTGCTATTGACCAGAGGACCGCTGTGTCCCAAGGCACACATAGTACCCCAAGGTGAGGAACAAAGCATGAAACGTTACTTTTTGCTTCTACTTTGGAATGCAAAAAAAAACAACTGCATTGGGAGTTTCTATACATCTGAGTCACAGAAACCACAGGACAATATCACTGACAACAGTTACCAGTGTGGAGGAGTGGTTTGCTCTCCGACTGCAGGGCTGTGGGATGTGTTGCTGTACCTCAGAGCACAGTACTCCTCTCAGATCACTCCTGTGTTCCCTAGCGCTGTTATCCATGTGATAAAGAGCCCTCGACAGGAATCAGCCTGTTATCAAGTTAATACACCAATGAAGCTTTACACCAACTATTTTCTCGCATATCGATATACTGAATTAAGTGGTCTAGTTTTTGCAGGATATTGGTGCCACCTAGCGTGCAGCATTAGGGAGGTACAGTACTTCCATGTTACTGTTTCTGTCAGATCCTTAAATTAAATTTAAGATTAATTTTACTTTGGACCTGAAATGAAATATATCACTAAATAGAACCAGACTTCTTATATATTCATTATGCACTCAGTTACATCCCACCATGAGCAAAATGTGAAAAAATGGTTCATAGCAGGATGGTGGAAAATGTTACAGAACTCTTGTCATGTAGTTTCCAGTCCGCATGTACTGTAACCTTCCTAGACACCAGGCTTGAGGGCCTTCATGTTTCCTAATGCCCAGTTGTGAAGCTGCCTTTCGGAGCCTCGTTAGCAGACTCTCAGCACCTCGTCCTCCAGGTGTTCCTAGAGCCACTGGGCGTCTTGCTCTTGCGGTTCACAGGCAGTGAATATGAGCGGATGGGTTTGGCTGAGCTGGAGGAGGCCGAGGATGAGTTTTCTGAAGAGGACCAGCGAGCACTTGAGTCCTACAGGTGAGAGCAGAGCCCCAACACCCCAACATCCCAGCACCCCAGAGCCCCAGTACTGCAGAGTCCCAGAACCCCAGTGACCAAAAGTCCTAGAGCCCCAGAACCCAAGTGACCCAGATCCCCAGTACCCCAGTACCCCAATGACCCATACCCCAGTTCCCTAGTACCCCAGTGATCCAGTACCCCAGTTCCCCAGTACCCCAATGACCCAGTACCCCAGTACCTAGTACCCCAGTGACCCAGTTCCCCAGTTCCCCAGTTCCCCAATGACCCAGTACCCTAGTACTCTAGTACCCTAGTACCCCAGTGACCCAGTGACCCAGTGACCCAGTTCCCCAGTACCCCAGTACCCCAGTGACCCAGTGACCCAGTGACCCAGTTCCTCAGTACCCCAGTACCCCAGTACCCTAGTACCCCAGTACCCCAGTGACCCAGTGACCCAGTTCCTCAGTACCCCAGTACCCCAGTGACCCAGTACCCCAGTACCCCAGTGATCTAGAGCCCCAGACCGGAGAAAAGGATGACAACCATGCCACAATGCCAAGAGAAAGCATGGTGGAGGCCCAGCCTGTGCTTGTTCCCATCACCCAGGCGCCGCCGCCTCGCGGAGTGGAGAGCGCGTGCGGGAGGCAGGCGTTTCGGCCAGCTGCGCGAGATCCAGGGCGACCAGTACGTGAGGGAGGTCACAGCTGCAGGGGAGCACCTGTGGGTGGTGCTGCATCTCTACAGGCCAGGGTGAGGCCACACACAGGACACGCATCTGTCGGGCAACAGCTCGTTTTTCTCCACAGCAGAAAACAGAGTGACGGGGCCATTGCACTGGGCGAGTTACCCCTCCTCTCTGTGTTAGTGCACAAGAGTCACAGGAAGGGTTGTGGTCTTTTAATAATAATTAATAACCCTTACATGGCGCTTTTCTGGACTCTCCACTCAAAGCGCTTCACAGGTCCTGGGGACTCCCCTCCACCACCAGTGTGCAGCCCCACCTGGATGATGCACCGGTACTCTCCCAGTGGGGAAGAGATCAGAGTGATTTAGCCAGTTCAGAGATGGGGATTATTAGGAGGCCTTGAGTAGTAAAGGCCAATGGGACCAGGGTAATATACCCTACTCTTTTCAAGAAACTCTCTGGGATTTTTAATGACCACAGAGAGCCAGGACCTCGGTTTTACGTCTCAATCGAGGCACAGCGCCTTTTTACAGTATAGTGTCCCCATCACTATACTGGGGCATTAGGACCCACATAGACCGCAGGGTGAGAGCGCCCCCTGCTGGCCCCACTAACACCTCTTCCAGCAGCAACCTTAGTTTTTCCCAGGAGTCTCCCCTCCAGGCACTGACCAGGCTCACACTGCTGAGCTCCAGTGGGCGGCCAACTGTGAGCTGCAGGGGGATACAGCTGCTGACTGATTTTTGGGGGAGTTGAGATATCCGTTATTTAGAGAACGGGGCTGCAGGTGCAAGGAGCCCGCCAGCGACCGGGACCGAGTCCAGGCAGGGGCAGGGTGAGCTGCGCTCCTCTCACCTACAGCTCACAGAAACATTAATTAAACACTATTTTCTTATCTCCAGGTTTGAAAGAATCCGCACTGATGAGTGCATTTCAAACTGCAATGAAAGTAAAATGGACACAGTGTCTTGTAAAACCTCCATCACAAAATAGACAAAATCTCCAGGTGTCACAGAGCCCTGTTCTGTGATTCAGAATGAGGGAACAGAACTCCCAGTGAGGTGAAGTGGCCCTGTGACACTGTGAACAAGCCGGCTTGTGGACACATCTCTTTAATCCAACAGAAAAATTGATCTCGACTTCCAGACAGGTTTGCCGACAAATACTACTTACTAGTTAACTCTGCATGCAGATCACGTTGCAACATTTCTGGGGTGAAATGTCTGCTGCACAGCCTGTATTTATTTGCTCGTACACACACAGTTCATCAGCCTTTACAGTGACTAGTGAGCAGGAAGGGCCACTTCATGTCCCAATTCTCTCACACTCTTGCTCTCTCCTGTGGCGAGACCAGGGCTTGGCAACAGTATGACACTCATACGGTCATTTCACAACGTTCCCGATTTTGTGCTTCATTCAGATTTTGTCAAATTTTTCTATACTGTCAATTAATTTATTTTGTTACCGAGATTTAATAACCCTTCTCAGAAACTGGGACTGCAGCTCCCGGTTCCTGTCGAGATATTGCAAGGTTTCTTTTCATCACTAACGAAACCTTGCAGGACATGTCAGAGTAAGTCAGCTGCACCCTCACCAACAGAAGCCAAAGAAAGAGCCAGAAACAGCCAGACGTGTGAGTCAGGAAGAGCAGCACCTGGGAAACAGGCAATGATGTCACTGATGTGAACACAGCTGTAAAGCCTGGCACTTACGACCTCCCTCAGCAGCAGAAGCTTGAGGCATGGTGCCATCTTGAGGTTATTATGCCACATAGCTGGAACAGGAAAAAATAAAACAGCACAGGAGATCGGAACAGGAGACCGGAACAGGAGTTAAATCTCTCTCCTTTCTGACCCACTCCACGCTTGGGAGAATGGGTGAACTGATTAAGTAAGGGTTGTCTTGGAGACGTTTCGGGATCCTGCCGGATTCTGGACTCAGAGGAGCTGGCCAGTCCTGAATCATTCACACCGCTAATGTGTGCTGTGTGTTATTGTTGTTGATAAATCAAATAAGGGGCAGCACAGTGGCGCTGCGGTTAGTTCTGGACCTGGAGTGCTGTCTGCCTGGAGTTAGTATGTTCTCCCCGTGTTCATGTGGGTTTCCTCTGGACACTCCACAGCCCCAAGACATACTTACATTGACTTCTGGCAGGCAAAGGTGTGTCTGGGAGCTCGTCTCCCATCACTGGCCTGTCGTCTGCGCATGTGCTTTTACTCCAGACAGATGATCCGTTTAGAAACGAGTTTACTGTGAGCCACTATATACTAGTTACTTTACAAGACCGGTTAATAATTATGACAGATCACATAGTCATATTTAATAAGTCATATATAATAACTATATAAAAACATACAATAATTTAAAGGCTTTATGCATAACACATCTCCTGGATTTTTTCCTTTCATTGTCCACTTCCTGTTAGCAGCTGGTGGCGCTGCTGCAGTTCTGTCTGCCTTGAGTCTGTCTGAGAGCCGTGCGCTCCTCTCTCCTTCCAGAATTCCCGTCTGCACGCGCCTCAATCACCACCTCGGCCGCCTGGCCCAGAGGTTCCCAGAGACCAAATTCCTGAGAATCATGGCTGACAGCTGCATCCCAAATTACCCGGACAGGCACCTGCCCACCGTCTTCCTGTACAGGACCGGGCGGATCCACGCCAGCCTCATCGGCGAGGCCCAGTGTGGGGGCAGGAACATGCTGGAGGAGGGTGAGTGTCCAGCGAGCTGCCTCCATGAGAGCTTCCTGGGGAACAACAACAGCAACGATAACACTGGGTTTCACTTTAGCACAGGTTCATTCTTACAGTAAATGTGGAATAACTGGGGATGTGCGCTTGTATGTCCTTAGTGACGTGAGACAGATAGGAAAACTCTGCACCCTTGCTTTCTGTCCGAAGGGCAACAGGTCTGGGGTCCATGGTCGAGTCAGATTCTTCACCTCTTCCAGGTTCCTCAGTGTTATATCACCTAGCACGTCCATCTGATTAAACATCATGCTTCACGCTCACAGGGCCCTGGCTAGCTCTGCTGGTGGAGCAGGAGACTCATCACCTCAGGGTTGTGGGTTCGTGTCCCACGTCAGGCGCCAGGTCCTCCATGTTGGAGGTTGGGCACAAGGCTAGCAACCCTGTCCTGTAAAAACAGGATGGTGCTGCCCCAATGTGCCGGAATACTGATTCCATCACACTGACTACTCTGTGAGTAATCCAAGCAAAATACACCACTTGCAAAAATGAGGGGGGCAGTACAGAGCATGCTGGTATTGAAAGGCCGTGCCAGCGGAGCTGCCCTCGCAGCCGAACGCCCCGAACGGACTCCGCCAGCAGGGGGCAGTGAGTGGCTGGGCTTGAGGAGCAGGAGACAGACTCCCGTCTGCAGGACTGGGCAGGTAAAGGCCTGCTGAAGAGAGGGTGGGATTGAAGCCTGCCTCCAGTGTGAGCAATACGCTGCTCTGGGGCACTGGAAGGCTCGTCTTGAGTTTAGGCATCGCTTATTTTGTGCGAGCAGCGCAGCATGTCGTCTTGAGCACAGTGCCTAAATCAATTATTCCTGTCTTGGTCCACTGAGTGCCGGACACAAACTGACCGCAGGCTGAAGTCATCTTTTCACAGAAGCAAGTAACATCCCGGGGTTTTGAGAGATCCTATCTTATCGAACATAATAACATCCGTAAAAACACCAGCAGTCCCCTGTCAAGGCCAAGGCAATATGAACAGTGAAAGTGCACAGATGATAATAATAATATGGATAATAACATGATAGTTTTGGGGGGTTATTGCTTCATTAAATCCGTCACACTTGGTCATTGTCTGCAAAGGAACAAGTAATAGGTTTATTCCATGCTGAAAAGAGAAGAAAGAAAACACAACGTTTCGGCCGTGGAGCCTTCTTCAGGTGTTAGTGTCATTATCTGCTGCCTTGGAACTGAGACCTGTACAGACCCGAGCAGGATGCAGTGACCCACTGTGTCCACTAGATGGCAGGCGTTCTCCTCCCTCAGTGATCTAGGCTGCGCTCTTCCGTTCTGCCTCGCTATCTACCTGTGACCGCAGAGCTGTCACTAGACGTAGAAAGGACAAATCTCTATCAGCTCTTTCTGTCAGCAAGCATACGGTACCATGGCCACAGTTGGCAATATTCCAATATTTTCACTAAAGCATCTGTAAATATCAAAGGAGTTAATGCATCATCCAGGTGGGGCTGCACACTGGGGGTGGTGGAGGGGATCCCCATTACCTGTGAAGCTCTTTGAGTGTCCAGAAAAGAGCTATAAAATAAATAATAATAATAATTATTATTATTATTATTATTATTATTGCTCTGGTCTTGAAAGATTTTTCCTCACACCAGCGTGGACATGCTGTTCAGCTCCAGGATGTTGGGGATTCATGCCCTCTGTGCGCTATCTGCTCAGCACCCCGGCACCAGACTCTGTTAACCTTGTAGAAGAATGTGAGCTATTCCCTGTGTGTGGTCATCATTTTGCACACAGATTTCTAGTGGATTCAGTTTAATAACGGACGAGTGCTTATCGTCTGTGTTTTTGTTTTTACGTCGTGGTGCAGCTATTGATTTTCCTGATAATCATGTTTATTTTGATCTCCTTCCTGGTTGGCAGTTAAACTCCTAACTGCTATACCACCTGACCCTGGGAACATTTCAGAAGGGTGTAAGTTCTGGTGCAGCACGGGGGTTCGATTCGGCCCCTGGGCTGCTGTCTGTGTGGAGTTTGCATGTTCTCCCTGTGTTCATGTGGGCTTCGTCTCGGTGCGCTGGTTTCCTCCCACGGTCCAAGGTATACTGGAAGAGTTATTGATTTCTGAGAAAGCTGTGTCTGTGTGTGTCCGGTGCCCGCCGCCCGCTGGGGTAGGATACGTTTGCTCCATGACCCTGGATTGGAAGAAATGATGAGAAAGACAGATGAATGTTTGGAAAATGACCTTAATTTCCCTCCATTCCTTGCTCCAGACCCTCTCAGCTATTCCTATCAGACTAATCTAAATGAACATCTCCGAAGTTGTAAAGTGCGAGCACCATAACAGAATAAGTATTCGTTCCCGTGTTTAGCCTTTACTCCGTGATCCTGCGCCTGAGGGTCTGTTGAGCCCGTGGAGCCTCTCTCCGGTGGGCTCGGCGTCAGGCTGTGCCGCTTGCCCTTCCAGATTTGGAGTGGATCCTGGCCGCGGTGGGGGCCGTTCCTGCGGAGCGCCCGGGGCCACTCAGGGAGGACGCGGCGGCCATGCTGCTGTCCTCCATCCTCCACAGCTGCAGCCAGGGGCCGGGCGGCTCCTCCTGAGGGCCACAGCGCTGACCGCAGACGCCAACGCAATAAACGGATTTTTTCCGCCCACACTTTGTTTTCTCTGATGGCCTGCTCGGGGAGATTGACGGTATCAGCGCAGTGGGTGACACCTAGACACTCCACCCCCGGCTCTTCATTTTGTGGGGACATTTCCTTTAATATGAGCAATTCAAGCATGTAAATACATAAAATATTACAATTACTACAAGTTTCGTCCACAGAACTTTACTTCTCCCACTGTCTGCCAATAAACCCTTGCCTAGATACACTGAACACATGTGATCTTCAGAAAAAAAAAGTTTTCTCTGTAATACTCCATATGAAATCTTGTGATGTGACAGCTCTGTTAATATTTAAAAGTGCAACAGATTACTCTTTCAGGACAAGAGCCACGCACTGCCAGTTAAAAGCATTCCTCGAGAAAGACAAAACACAGTGCTTTCCTCTTCCGCTGTGCCTAGAAAATCCAACTGCTGAACTTGCAGCAGTCTGGAGAAGTAGGAAGAGTACAGCATTGCACTAAAACTTCAGTGCTTAAAATGTAGAGCTGGGTAACACCTGGAATTTATGCGAATTATTTAAGTGTCATACTGTGCGTCTGCGGGACAGAGACTGGGAAACTCCTAACAGAGCACAGAAACAGAATAAAAGGCTGCATTGTTCTTGCTCAGATACAAAAACGGTAGCGACGCGTCGAGAGAAGGTAGGATTTATTGCCAAGTTGTACATTAAGAATCAATCAGGTATGTGCTATCTGTTAAAGAGGTTAATTAACATCATAGCTATAAATACCAAACTAATCTAAATCACCATTTCCTAAGTAATAAAGTAAGAGCACCATAACGAAATAAATATTCACATATTTAGCCTTCCAATGTTTCCTTTAATTAATTATTCTGCTGTTAATTATCTGTTCAACCTGTTGAGCCTATTTCTGATGTTTCGTTGTTAATCAATTTTTATGGGCATTCGGAACCTTAACTTCGCTAGAGCTTCCAGAGGTCAGCGTCTGAAATGTATTTCGTCTCAGGCGAGGACACTGGGCTCTTGGAAAATTTCTCTGCCCACGGTGGCCAGCACAGAAGCTGCGCAGCTTCGTCCTCCGCTCACTGACTCTTTCAACAGAAGAAAGGGAACCGCTGGGCAGATCTGTGAGGAATCCCCAAAAATAAAGCCAAGAGAAACACTGGGAGAGAAAAAGAATTCGCTATCATTGTGCTTAGCATGCAAAACAGCCTGGCTTAGCTGCAGCAGTCTCAGTGGAATTAAAGGTAGGTCACATCCCATAATGCTCTGGTGTAGCTTCTTTGAATTGCTTAACCACTGTTGTGCCAGATGGATTTTCCCCACCGTGTGAAGTTTAAATTAATCTCCTTGAAGGCTGAAAACTGAGGAGATCTCTAAACGATCTTTTGTGTTTGTTAATTTATTGATGGCTTTTTAAATTCCAGATCAGCATCGATAACAGTACACATCGATTTATCTTTTCATTTCAGTTTCC